GGGTAATCACTTGCAGTTAGAAGTATTGGGTTGGCCCATATGTAATGGCGTTTTTTCTGTCTTGGAATTGCGCGTTAAAAGTAGAGTTCTCCACCAGTAGTTCCTACCTGGGAGAACTTTTTACCCTATAATATGTTCTGCATGACTTTTTGAAAAAAAATTATTTCCATCCTTTATTAGGTATTCAAAGTGGAGTGGCATGTCGAGGAAATTGAGCATTCTCGACGCCCTCCCCTTTCCTCCCTTAAAGACACATGGTACGATCACACATCCGTGACATCCGTTGGGTATCCGTGACTATCAGCCCCCCCCAGCTGTCGAAGCGCAGCGGTTTGCCCGTCCTAATATACTCAGGAACCCGTGAAACACGCTAATTCCTCCATGCTCCGCCCAATGCCTTTTGCGGCGCAGACTCCCGTTTATGCTAACAGCCGTCCGCGCGGCGCGTGTCGCGCGCAGCGCTCTTGGCACTTTGCCAAGTCCTGTAATTGCGCTTGGAATACAAGTAAAACGCAATTTCCTGATGCGGATAACATTTTAGGTGCTGCAAAATAAGAACCGAAGATGATGACGAGGGCTAGAACTCAAGAGCAACTGTGCTGCTTCTGCAATATCCCTCGGAGGCCGCGCATTCCCACAAAACATGAAAATAAAAACGGCCTAAGCGTCCCACTCGTTAGTTTGAAAGTATTTTTATGGCTTTGGAGCCGGAATCGCGCCGAATCGCAGGAATTTACACGCGATTTTGAATTAATTTGCATTTCCTTACAAGTGAAACGCAATTTCCTGATGCGGATAACATTTGAGGTGTTGCTCATGCTGCAAAGTCCGAATAGAAGGTGATGAAGATGACAAAGGCTAGAAATGAAGAACAACGAATGTAGATAAAAAAAAATGAAAAAATGCAAATTAACCAAAATGCGTGTAAATTTCTGCAATTCGGCGCGACTCCGGCTCCAAAGCCATTGGCGCGACTCCGGCTCCAAAGCCATAAAAATACTTTAAACTAACGAGTGGGACGCTTGGGCCGTTTTTATTTCCATGTTTTGTGGGAATGCGCAGCCTCCGAGGGATATTGCAGAGGCAGTTGCTCTTGAGTTTCGGCCCTCGTCATCATCTTGGTTCTTATTTTGCAGCACCTCAAACGTTATGCCGCATCAGGACAATTGGTGTTTTAGTTGTATTCGCAAAGACAATTTAGCAGGAACTTGGCGGAGGCAGGGATAGCCGGGTGGTTTGAAGAGTGTAACTCATAATTCACTCTGAGCCACGAGAGTTCGATCCCTGCCGAGGCACAAACCTGCCTTGCAAAAATTGCAAAAATGGGGACGATACCAGCGTCAGGCCCAGGTTGACAGGCCGGCTGATGGAGGAACCCGTCACAACAACCATGACAAGTCGCAATAGAATCAGTGTAAAAGCTAGGACGTCACCCGGAAGTGGCGCGCAGAACCCTCGCCCGAGTTCTGTGGTCAGTATGCGAGGGCTACCGAGGGGTGAACGACCTCGGCCAAAGAAGCTAGTTCGAATTGGGACCCTGAACGTGGGGTCGCTTACCGGGAAGTCTCG